ACATTTCGAGTGGAAAGTCAACGCGGGGGTACGACGGTTGAATTTTCAACCCCAAAAGTTTCACGGAAAACTGCTTTTGAATCGGCCGATACACCTCGCCCTCGTGGCACGGATGAATGGTGGTCCACGCGATCTCTACACACACGCACACCCTTCTCTCTCTCTCTTTTTCTCTCTCTCTCTCTCGTTCCATTCACCCCGCCTCTTGATATCGCGAAACGAAACGTCGGCCGCGACGACATCAAAGCGACCGCTGGCGAAAAATTGATGAGGTGGTGACGTTTGGTATTTCGTATTGATTAACTTCATCGGCACGTCCAACTTCATGTTCGCAGCTCATGAGCGCATTAAAATACCGAGCAATGCGTTACTTTGCGCGCGGCCATTATTCGGCGCGAGTTTCGAATGGCCACGAAAAAAAATATTGTGCCAATCAAACATGTCGTGCGAGGACGCGTCCTTCCCTTCGTATGTAAACTCTTTTTATGAGAATATTACGCTTCGATGTACATCGTTTAATATACCGCGCGAAATTTCGTTCGGTATGTACGCAGAAAGCTTTGAACGTCATTTATGACGATTTATTCGTTCGTCGTTTGTTGAAGTGTTTATAATACTGTTTTTTGTTTATGTTCAATTATTCATGGGATAGAGAGAAAATGCGAAATAAATATTCAAAGCACGTAGCGAGATTATTAATGAGTATAATTTTAAAAAAAACGAAAAAAAATTATAGACCAAGGTTCGCTTTGTAAAGATGATTTTTCGATTTTTCTATTTTCTCTTTGACCATCTTTTCTTTAACAATTATCTAATTGAGGACGAAACGTATCTTAAAAGTTAGCTCGATATGGAAAGGATGCTAGAGCGTCGACTTTTACTACTTGCTGATGACTACTATGAAACTATTTTTGTACATGATTTTTTTTATCTTTCTATTTTCTCTTTAATGCACAATTATCTTTATTAATGGAGAACGAAACGTAACGTACAAAATTGGCTCGATATAGAATGGACGTTGAAGCGTTGACTCTTACTACTGGCTGACTAATGTTAGACTCAACGTTAGACTCAACGTTAGAGCATTGTTATCCTTCTCTCTTGTTATAAACTACGTGAAATATGGATTGCATCAGCCTGTACGGTAGGAAAGGAGCCCATTCACGAAATATCTACCTCCCGAATAGGATAGATCTTTTGCGATATTTAGCGTTCCATGATGTAATACGTCGCGTCATGAAGCTGAAAATGAATTTCCGCGAAACCCGATCCACGCTAATTACCTCCTTTTCCTCGCCTCTTTAAGGGGGCAAGTTACACGAACGATCACCTTCCAATGCGGTGAACTTCTATCAAGACGTCACGGTGAATAAGAAAAATGAGTTTATGGGTGTTCTAGGGATCGTTTAATGAATCACTGGCTCCTCGATCGATGATAATTACACGCGAATTTTGTATATGCTCGATCCATCTGAGAATGATTAATGGTAATTTCGTGTAAGAAGTATCGTAAGAAGCGTGTGTAATTTGTATACGCGATAAGAATAAACGAACGACAAAGCGTACGATGAATTTCAGGGGAAATTTCGTTGCAAGATTATTGCAATGCAAAATTGGTTTTTTAGTCTCGTTTTTCTTTTTCTTTTTTTTTCTTTTTTTTTTTACGAGTAATTAAATGGCTTGGCATAAACGATTAACTGACGATTCACACTCCAGAGAATTCTTTTGACGATGGAACGACAGACGAAAGTGAAACGCGTTTATTACGGGGATGACATGTTCGCGGAGCTAATCGAAAAAAAAAAAAAAAAGAAAACGAGAATAATTTCGTTACACTGACCATTTAGATCGAGTAACTGCGAGCAACCAATTAAACTTGCGTCCATTTTGCCTGTTGGATTTTTCTGTGTGATGAAAAATTTCTTCCTTTTTTTTTTTTTTTTTTTCTGTTTTGTTTTCCAGATCAAATATTTTCCAGCTTTTTGAACGAAATTTCAGAGAAATTGGCTATACACGGGTTTTATTTAGTAATATCTTCTGTGAAAATATTTCTGAATCGACGATTTTCCTTTTTAACAAATAATTAAAAATTACGAAACGAGGATGGGGGGAAAAAAAGTGAAACAGAAGGGACATTAACATTTAAAATAAATATTCATACCGTCTAGTAAAATATATCCCGTGTGAATTTCATGAAAAATTTTCATGGGGAAGGATACAGGAATCGTTGAATCCATTGAAATTTCAATGTATAATTGATCATCCAGCGGATGTCTGTCCGCCATTCGGCATAACATACAAAAAATTGTACGTTATATCCTATGTGAAACTCCTGTTATTTCGTTTTATATATCCACCATTTGTGTATACGTATAATAATTCGAAAATATAAATTAAATCGCAACAATGGAAAATTATATGTTGAAAGTTGACTGTGAAATTTATCGTGTCACGATAAATCACCACAGTGGATAGAATCAAGCATCGGATTGCACAACATTTCCATCGATTCCTGAATTCCTCGCGGAAACGAGAACGACAAAGGGGGCACGACAAAAAAAAAAGAAAGAAAGAAAGAAAAAGAAAACTCACATTTCCACAATTACTCCCTTCATCAAAGTCCCCGACACGATTCGTCCAATCCGCCCCCTCCCCATCGATTCTAAGAAATAGAAAGATTCATCCACTTCCCTCTTACCACCCGAAATATTAAAGAAATCGGGGCGAGAGAAAGAGAAAGCCGAGGGCGCAGGTTTGGAGAAACGTTGGAGAACTCGGTTTTTGAAACGAGAGCCCGGAGGGTATATCTCGTCGATGACGGCGGAAAACCTTAAAATCCCGAGCTCTGGTTCGCGCGTCGATTCGCGCGAAGAGGGAAATGGCGCTGGAAAGGTAAAAACGGCCCTTTATCCCCGACTCGCCGGGGACGTCGTCCATTTTCGACCACACCCCTCGTTTCGGAGGAATTCGAAGGTCACCTAGCGGGACAAGGAAGGAAAGCTTCCTGTTCCCTCGTGGTGGATAGGGCAGAGCGATTGACCCGAGAGGTTGGAGTCGGGCGATTTTTTCACGGAGGATCAACTTGTCCGCCATATTAATGACCACGGTGCTTCGGATTATCCGTCGAGGTTACCCACCGCTCTCCCTTCCTTGTTGGCTGCGGCCAACTTTCTTGGAAAATTGATTGCGCTTCTACGAATCTTTTCTCTCTCTCTCTCTCTTTCTCTCTCTCGTGCTCTTTCTTCGTGTCTTTCCGTCCGTTCTTCGAAAGGGGCGACGACGAGAGGAGGAGGAGAGAGTCGCCAAGGGAGAAACGATGACGTGGTCGTGGTTGACAAACGGGAATTCCTTTCCTCCTCCGCCACGATCGAGGCTAATTATTTTCTCCGAGACGAGTACCTTTAATTGGTGTTTTCTTATCGACTGTCCCCTCCCCTCCCCACCGGCCCGGCCGGCGCAAGAACGACAAAAGCCTTCGAGACGCGAATTTCGCGCTGCAGTAATTCAGTTTGGCAAGTTTCTTTCGCGCCCCGAACTTCCCTGTGAACGTATCTCTGTTTGTCGTACCTCCCCCCTCGAGAATACCTCTTTCTCGAGAACTCGTTAAACGCGTGGCAGAGGTCGGGTTTATCGGATACCATAGAGATCTATGGTTACGAAACGGGAGGAAAGGAGAGGAGGGGAATGAGAAAAAGAAATTGCGGAGGTGTAGTTGCTTTGATGTAACGATTACTAAGCGAAAAACTGCTTACGTTTGGAGCGTAAATTGAAGGTGGATGAATCTCTCTCTCTCTCTCTCTCTCTCTCTCTTTCTCTTATTGCGTTGCGAGAGTTGCGGGGTTGAGTTCTTGTCTATCGAATTAATTCTCGACCAACTCGTGAATCGGCTTTGTATTGTGTCGAATTTTGTCGGGGTAAACGTAAACAAAGACGATTGAAATCAGCTTATTTTCGAGGTTGAAATCGTTTCTTCTCCCATCATCGTACAATTTACTCGTCTGAGGAAATAGTAAATGGAATCGGTGAACGAGTGAAAAATTTTGACCCTGTAACCTCTTATAAATCCTTAAATTCTTGATCGAAAGAGTGGAAATAAAATATTAATATGTTTTCAAGTTGAATAATAAAAAGCGTAATTCAACGGAGGTTATTCGTATTTCAATGAAATAAAATAGAATCCGATCGAGAATCAAATTTCGCTCGGTTTAAATTCCTGAAACGTATAGCCGTTACGAACGTGTTGCCGATAACCGTGCGTGAGTGTGCGCGTCTGTGTCGAAACGCAACAACATTGCGAGCAAAGAAACGCAACGTTTTATATTTCGATATTTTCCAAATACATTTTGCATTATGAACGATCCCCGATTGTTGCGGCCTCGGAGAAAAGAAATCCGAAAATCTGAGAGAGGGAGGAGAGGGGGTGAATAATTATAGAAAATCGTTTCGAATATTCGGAGGAAAATACCGAAAATATCGGGTTCAAATCAGACGTGGAAAGGTGAGCAGGCTGGTGATACGGATCGAGATTCGATTGAAAAATAGAATTTCATTCCACTTTGTTTTACGTATTTACTACGCGACTAGACGTAGCACGAGAGTGCCATCAGAATTTATTCCAATCCCGTCATTCGATCAATCCCTTATATCTACGAACGACGTTACTTATATTAATCCTTATATTCAATCGTTGAAGCGATTATTGCGCGGTAAAAAAAAAAAGAAAATAATAAAAGTAACAAGAAACAGGACGAATTCCTTTATCCTCACAATTTGAATTTTTGCCATTATTTTTATGATTCTATTATATATTTTATCGAGGTTCGATATTTCACTCAAACTTATCAAACTTTAATCGGTTAATCAAATTCTGCAAACTGCATCATCTTATGAATTTTATTTCCCTTCCATTTTCGCCTACCATTTTCTTCTCTATCGTAGCATTTCGTACATTCCGTAGTATTAGTGAAAATGGAACGATACGAATCGCATCTTCTTTTCAGAACCTTGCGAGAAAACGTACTGTTCTTGGGGCGCGACGTGCGTCGTGTCGGAGAACGGGAAACCTTTGTGCCAGTGTCCTACGGATTGTCCTTCGACTTCCGAGCCTGTCTGCGGCTCCGACAACGTGACCTACACCAACTATTGCCATCTACGGAAGAGCAGCTGCCTCGAGAGGAAAAGCACGCGGGTGAAGAATCAGGGCGCTTGTGGTGAGTATACCATCCCGCCTTTTCGCTTCCCGATCGCCTTTCAACTTTCCAAATGAACAGACAGGATATTGGTAAAAGTTGGACTCTCGAGGGGTGAGGAGGCGGCCGGTATCGCGTCGTTTCGCCGTGATAAACGGAGATAACAAACGAGTATTATTCGGATAACGCCATTGTCGAAGCGAGTGCAGAAAGCATCCTTTCTCGTTGGGTGTAAAAATATTCTTTCTCGAGTCGATAACAAAATAGGTTTATTGCTTCGCGAACAGCGCATCGTTGCACTTATAAAAATAGAGGATCTCTATTTTTTGAGCGGAATCTTTGAAACGTTACAAACCTGCCTTGTTCTTTAAGCTTTTTAAGAATCTCAATACCTGCTTTCAAAAGTTATTTGTAAGCTCTCTTCTTTAACACTGGCCAATCAATTATTTTAGAAAAAAAAAAAAGAACACGAGGAAACACTCGTGATGTAGCTTAATAAAAAAAAGTCGTAAAGAAAATTGCGAGAGGAGAAAGTGTCCGCAATCGTTTCTTTTTCCACGTAAATGAAAGATGCTACATATAGTTTCACAGCGCGCGATAGAGGAACGAACGACTTCAAATATTTATGAAATCGAACGTATTGACCATAGCAAACAAGTTCTCGTTTCGAAAGGGAGACGTGAAAGATTACGAAGAGAAATCCGACCGATTCTCCTCCCGCGGGCGACAGAAACTCGAACTAAAACAAGTCCTCTCTCTTATCTCCTTTCCTCTCTCTCTCTCTTCCTCTATCTCTTATACGGATCGGAGAGGAAAATGGCGGGGGATTCGCAAATATATTTGCCGCGACGGGTTTATTCGAGGCGGTTTTCGATTCCCTAATGGCGTTCGTGCGAAATTTCCAACCGCGCGGAGATCTGTCGATGCAAAACGGAAACTTATTCCGCGATATCCTGCAATAATGATAATGCCCCGATATCGAGGCAGCCCTCTCCCCGCGTCACGTCCTATTATTCGGGTTTGGATATCGTCAACCCGCAAAAATAGAGACTCAGCCTCTCGATATCGTTGGATCCGGCTGCATCGACACGTGTCACGCTTCTAAAACGCGGCGAGGATATGACGGTGAAGGAGGAGGAGGAGGAGGAGGAGGGTAACGTCTGGCTTTCTGGAATCAGGATTGACGTGTATCCATTTGTCCCGTTGTTAGTAATTCCGGAAGAAATCGCTTCTGGTTTTAACTCCGCTTATTCTCGCCGAGGAGTTCGAAGTTAATCTCGCGTTATTATTTTTATTTCGACGTCGGAGCGGTGAGCGATTTTTCAACGCGACGATTGAATTATATTGCGCCAAGATTTTCACGAAAAAAAAAATAATAATAATAATAAACCGTCGTTACGATTCCGCCGATCGTCAATCTTGTCGATAGACAAAACCAGTTTCGTCGTTCTCTTCTCCCCGGGAAAATAGGCCGAGTCATTTAAAAAAAAAAAAAAAAAGAAGAAGAAGAAAAGAAAAGAAGGAAGGAAGGAACAAAAATCCTCCGAGTTGCACCGTATTACTTTTAAAATTTCCGGTCAGGGTGGAAAGAAAGTTGAAAGAACGGCTGAGATCACCGAATAAGATCTTCCTTAGGTACTTTGTATTAGTTTTAGAATTTCTCTCCCTCCCAAGAGAAGGAAAGTTAAGCCACTGAAAAAAAAATTACATTCAGTTTGGGGTAGTGGACTAGTTTTCGCTTCTGGAAAATAAGTTTCCCGTGTCCTTCGAGTTACCTCTCCCTCCCTCTTTCCCCACCGTGTGCAACATTCAAAAACTCGTTACAATTTTTCCAAATTCAATATTAATCTTATCTTTGAGTCGAGGAGGAGAAGTGGGAGGGTAGACAAAGTTGCGAGAACTTTGTCAATAAAAAAGATGACGCGCGCGCCATCGATGCATCCTCTTTGAACCTTAAAACAAGCGCTATATATCCCGCGACACAATTACGAGACGACCGTTATTTACATTTAATTGTTCCAAGCGTTTAAACGTCCCTCGAACCTTCCCCCTCCCCTGCGACGTCCATTTATTCAGACTTTGAAATTCCGAAATAAAGCTCACCCGGAACGGGATCGATCAATTTTCGCGTATTTTTATCCACGAACCGGATATATAATGCGTGCACGGTAGAGAAGAGAAAATGATCGGGGGAGGGGAGGAAATTCGAAGGCGGATGCAGGGTGGAGAAGGGAAAAACAGAGCGCCTCGAAAAAAACGTATTTTATCACTATCGGATCTCTTTTTACCTCGCCCAGTCCACGATCTTGCCACCATGAATTAACCATCGCCCGATACCCGATTTTTGCCCCGAAACCTCGCGCGCCCTCCCAGCTCGTCCCAGCGCCGATTCTCGAAAACGATCTTTTATTCAAAGCGAGCCTACGCGCGCTTGTATCGACACCGTGTCGGTTTTTCTTCCTTCTCCTCCTCTCCTCGGGAAAGGGGCAAATCTTAGGGGCTCTCTGTTCTCATCCGTGGAATGTATTCACCGATGGATCGAGAGGGGAACAGCTGGACGCGAGCCGGTTGCGTGCGCGTCCGTGGAAATTACTTGGAATTCTTTCGAGTTTCTGCAATTGGGTGGGAAATGGAATGATGATTTGAAATTTTGCGGAATAATGTTTCCAATAATCGAACTTCTGAGAGTGATATTTTTAAGGTACGTAAGAACTGTACACCAACGAAGAAACGGTATGTGTAGAGAGGGGGAGTTTGTTCCATTCGAAACGAAAGATTGACGAGAGGGATGGAGGGATTGGAGATAATTTTGGGATGGAAAGAAATATATTGATGAACGAGCGTGGATCATTTAAGGTAAGAACGTGAATAAAGGGGGAAATTTATTAGCCAGAAATTTCCCATCCAGTTTTCACAGCCGAGCCAAGTTTAATCTAGTTACGTTGCGCAAGTTCTTCGTTACACAACTCAACCTTTGTACTTCACGAATACACTACGAAGTAACTACGGAACACTTCGTTATCGTCCATGGTATTATAGTTGCAATTATTAGGCAAAGTATCGAGGCAAACTGTTCTCCCTCGATGATGAAATAATATCGAGCAGGATTGGTGGGGGAGGAAGATTCGAAAAAGATAAAACGGACGATCTTTGACGTGGCGGAAGAAATTTTTCATCAAGCATCCTCGAAAATATTTCGGGAATGCGGAAAATTCGAAATTGGAACGTAACGCGTTTATCTCGAAAATTTCCCCCCCTCCCCTCTTCGATTCTTCATGGATCGTTGGACCCTTTTACGGCGAGAATTAATTTCGCTCGCGTGCCATGAAATTTAATATTATGCGCAACCAGCTCCGATGCATAATTTCCACCGTGGCGCTCGTTCAAAGTCTATCGAAGACTTTCGACAAACTTACGGCCTGCTTGCGTCTCCGTCCCCTTCGTCCTCTTCCGCTTTCAATTACTCCCAGAGACAAGCCAGAGATCCTGAAATGTCTGGAAATGACGCGCAAGATCGCAATTGTTGGAAAGCTCTAAGCTTTTTGCTCCAGTTTAAGTGAAAACACTTCGTCGACCGTGCCTCGCCACACGAACCTCTCGTCCTTTTATCAATTTATTCGTTGCAACGTTGGATACGATACGGAGAGAAAGAGAGAAAGCTTCGAACATTTATATTTTGTTCACGGATCGATACACGTGTTCGTTCAAATTTGTTTCGAAATCGAGAACCCGAGAAAAGCACAAACACCGCCCGATAAATCAAACAGATATTAAAAATTGCTATTAAAAATTCCAGAGCATGAGTAACAAGTGTGTATATCTGAAACAAATACGAGGTATGGACAAGGTACGATATTGTACATTTTTAACGATGTGGATTTTTGAGAGAACATTTTTTTTCCCCCCTCCAATGTTAGTTTTAATACTTTAAAATCAAGTTTGGAGGGGGGAGGGGAACAGAATTTCGAATAATTACATCTATCGAACGAATGGAAAAAATTATTTTTTATTACGATCCTTTCTTTTTTTCTTAACAACGTCGTGAACATTTATATCTTCATCTTTTTATTTTTATCTCACATTTAAATATTCATAAAGAATTATTCATTTTAAAATAAAGCTTCTATCATTTATCGAATTTAATATTTTTCACATTTACTTTTTACGATACGGAATTTAAAAGTTCGAAATGTTGATTCTCTCTCTCTCTCTTTCTCCCTCTCGTGGATGAAGCCATCGATGAAGCGATAGTTTAGAGAACAACGATGGAAAAAAGTCTAGAGAGAGAAAGAGAGAGAGAGTGAGAGAAAGAAACGAAGGATATCGAAGGAAAAGGGGGGGGGGGGAAAAAAAGGGTATCCTCGATTCGTAACTTCTTCTCTAAAATCGAATTCAGACTCTGGGGTACACGTATTATCACGCCACCCGTTTCCCTTATTCCCTCTTTTTATCCACCTACTTTCCTCCTTCTTATCTTATCGGGCGTAGTTCTGGTTCATTGCGAGCTCGTTCTCCCAGCCGGTAAGATACTCCGTGTTATTAAACAAGACCCGTAATAGTAATGATACTTAACATCAGCCTCTGTCTCCCGTTGAAGTAGCCAGCCTTTTTAAATTTCTATATTACATCGTATCCTATCGAGAGAGAGGGAGAGAATTTTCAAACCTTTTTCCTCGCTAACCGCGATTATTAAAGCGATATTTAAATTAGAGATCACGAACAGAGAGAGAGAGAGAGAAAGATCGTGAAATTTTATCGTTCTCTTTTCCTTCTTTTTTTCGAAAGCGCGCATGGAATTCTCATTCGGCCAGCATCTTTCTAACAGCTTTCCCATGTGCACGTAAATTATTATGCGAGCAAACAATGCGGTACTGGCGTAACAGCATCGTGTAAAATAGCCGAGTGTCCCTAGCGGTTTCTCCGGACGAGTTTTCCTTCTGATGTTCTCCCTCTCTCTCTCTCTCTCTCTCTCTCTCTCTCTCTCTCTCTTTCTCTCCATCCAGAGTTTCTCGTTCACGCGC